CCCCCCCCCCCCGCCCCCCGTGAGTTTCCCGCAAGCTTTGCTAACAATCCATGATTATCTCCCAAACAAAAGCAACCGGAGCCATACTTAAGAGCTAGGACGCCCGAACGCAGTGCCCCCAACTCTGATGGCTCCCGGTGTTCAGGACACCAGGCACAGTGTGGGGAAGGAAGGCAGGGCGCCCCAGGCCATTTGCATTTACAGCTCTGTCTCCCACCCACCCGCCCCCGTTTAAGCGTGTCCGAGATCCCATGTGGGCACACTTCCAGAGTAAACGACTAGTGTGTATGTGAACTTGGAATGTCACGGCGCGTCCTGTTTTGTGTCTGGCCACCCTGTCCGCTCGGGGCGGGCAGGGGCGGCCGGTCCAGAAGGCAAGGCCACGTCTAAGTCAGAAGCGAAGCGTTTCATCGAGACTAGGCCATGCCTGCCGGGCTTGGCCAAGTGGGAGGGGCGACAGGAAACCAGAACCCGGCTCTGGGTGTGGTGTTCTGGCCCCGGGCTGCCAGCTTCGCCCCACCCTTCGTCTACACTTTGTGGGTGGCATTTTCCCCAGGGCATTAGGCAGAGCGCTTGGTCTGGTCGCTTATTGCCAGAGAGGTGGAAAAAAAAAAAAAAAATGCGCGCCCTGAGCAGGCCGAGGGCACCGGGCTGGAACTAGGAGGGGCTCTGGGCACCAGGTCCTGCCTGGCCCTGCCCTGCGGAGGGGGTGGGGGGGTTCAGGATGGTCCCCGGGGGACTTGCCCCTGCGATGGTGCTAGGGGACTAAGCTTGGTGGTCAAGTCTGGGTCAATCAGGGACATGCTTTTTTTCCTTTCCGATTGCACCCAGGCAGCAAGGGTTCCAGAAAAACTTTCAGGATCATTATAAGGCCAGGTGGCCCAGTTGACGTGATTCGGTCCTCTCCCACCCCTGAGCCTGACCACATACTTACGTCTTCCTATAAATATCTTGGCCAGCTTCGGCAACACCTTGCTGTACAAAAGCAGCTTTCATCCGGGAGGACCATAAAAGTTCTTCAGAAACCACAGCATATGACTCGGAAAGACAAAAGAAAGAAAAAAAACAAAACCCTGTAAGCTAGGCATTAAGGAGTCAGTACAGCCTCTGGGCTGGGACATGACGTTTGGGTGCGGGGAGGGCACACTGAACTCTGTCATGTGCAAACAAGGAGGTTCTGTCTCTAGTCCCGTGAACCGTGAGGTTAATGCAGCAACCCGTCCAGGTGTTCAATATAAGAGGAATAAATGTGTAGTTTTCTAAGCCAGCGGGAGTATAAATACGTGTCGTTCTTTTGGAAGAGTTAGGTATATACTTGTACATATGTGTGTGTATATGTATGTGTGATGTGTGTGTGTATGAGTGTAGAGATAGTGAGTTAAAATTAAAAAGTACAGGGGCGCCTGGGTGGCTCAGTCGGTTAAGCGTCCGGCTCTTGGTTTCAGCTCAGGTCGTGATCTCACGGTTTGTGGGTTTGATCCCTGCATCAGGCTCTGCACTGACAGCACAGAACCTGCTTGGGATTCTCTCTCCCCCTCTCTCTCTGTGCCTCCCCTGCTCTCACTGTCTTTCTCTCTCAAAAGATAATACACAAACTTAAAAAAAATTTTTTTTAATTAAAAGGTATATTGTTACCTTTGCAGGCTTTATACTTATTACATTACATACTGTGTATGTTATATTCGGATATATTCTATAATATGTATTCTAATGTGTTTTATGACATATATTCTATATATATTCTAAATGTTTTTGTATTTTATATTTGAGAGAGAGGGAGACAGAACATGAACGGGGAAGGGACAGAGAGAGAAGGAGACACAGAATCCAACTCAGGCTCCAGGCCCTGAGCTGTCAGCACAGAGCCCGACACGGGGCTCGAACTCATGAACCATAAGAACATGACCTGAGCCAAACTCAGATGCTCAACCGACTGAGCCACCCAGGCACCCCATCTACTATGTATATTCTAAAAGACATGCTTATGGCCCTTCAAAGACTTTACAACTTGTATGTACATACATATACATTATATATATATGTATATGTATACATATATATATAATATTGGGTATTATATATATTCTAACATTCTGTAATATATTCTAATGTATTTTATTATTTATATTTTAATATATTTTATTATACATTCTAACATTTCTATTCTAAGAAACATATTCAAGGGCATTGGGGTGCCTCAGTCAATTAACCATCTGACTCTTGATTTGCACTCAGGTCATAATCTCATGGTTCATGAGTCCAAGCCCTGCATTGGGATCTGTGCTGACATCTTGGAACCGGCTTGAGATTCTGTCTCTCTCTCTCTCTCTCTCTCTCTCTCTGTGTCCCTCTCCCACTCGCTCTGTCTCTCTCGAAAATAAATAAACTTTAAAAGATAAATTGAGGGGCGCCTGGGTGGCTCAGTCGGTTAAGCATCTGACTTTGGCTCAGGTCATGATCTCGCGGTCTGTGAGTTCGAGCCCCACGTCGGGCTGTGTGCTGACAGCTCAGAGCCTGGAGCCTGCTTTCGAGTCTGTGTCTCCCTCTCTCTCTGACCCTCCCCTGTTCACGCTCTGTCTCTCCCTGTCTCAAAAATAAATAAAAACGTTAAAAAAATTTTTTTAATAAAATAAAATAAAAAATAAATTGATAGTTAAACAAGTAAAAAAACATGTTCAGCTGCCTTCAGACGTTACAAGTTATATATAATGTTAGATATGTATTATACATTGTATTCTAATATTGTATAATATATATTCTAATGTATTTTACTATAAATTCTAATCCATATATTCTAAACAACAAGCATTTAGCTGCCTTTACAGAAATGGCAATCTATATTCATAAGCATATTTATATATGCAAAAAACACATATATATACTTTTGAGTTAAATATGTGTCTGTATAGCGTCTCTCACTCAGGTAAACTCATATTTTGGAAGTATACAGGTGGGTTTTAATACATGGTTGGAAGAAGCCTCCCCAGGACTTCTGGAAAGCAATCCTTTCAACAACGTAGGAATGCTTTGAATGTGGACGCAGCCAGGGATGAAAATATTTCTATCGCTGGATGCCTGGAAATATGCCCACTTAGGCTTTGCTCTTTGCGGGCAGGCAGAAAATTCTGATGGATGTTTAGCTATGGGATTAGGGTTTCAGATTTCAGCAGCTAGATTTTCCTGTAATTCAGGCGAAGCCCTGTACCAGGTGTCCTGTGTTTACTAAGAATATAACAGGGT